AAGTACTCGCTGTTCAGTTGAATTGAAATTTCAAGTACGGCTCTGTCGTGAATTCCGTATTTACGTCGTAGCCGTACGTCGTATAACTATACGCTGGCGCTGGCGTGATCGAGGGATAGGACAGGACCGGCTTCGGTTTGGTTCAGGTTTGATCGAGTTTGCGGAGCCCAATATCTCGGTTCTATCAAGACATTGGTGTATATGCTACTAAGAAAATCCGCTTATTTTCTCAAGATCTATACGTCGTGTAATGGAAAACCCCAACTTTGCGCCATCATGCCTTTCTTAGAAAACTTTGCGAACAATAAACTCATTTATTAACTGGTAGAATCTCGTTTAGATATAGAATATAATGAATGTTATTTTTCTTCAAACTTCGCGGTCTAGTATTTTGGAAACGTTGTTTCTTTGACAGCTTTAATAAGAGAAACAAAACTCATCGCTGGGCGCAGAATAAAGAAATAACGCAAACATTATTCATTTCTGTTCACCTTTGGATAAGCACGGGGAATTGCACGTAGCCAAAGTTGAATTACGTATCAGGTTCATTCAGTAATTTTTCCTAGATTGTCAATGTTTCCGACAATTACACTGTCTAAAGTAAAGCGTTATATTGTGATTTAAATAAAACACTTAGCGGAATTGTTTCAAGTCGTTTTGTTAATTTTGTCAAACTACTTCTAATTTCAATTATTACATTTGTTCCTACCTTATTCTCCACATAACCAAATTCATCATAGCAGTAAATAAAACTGACGTGAGGACTATACCACACCCCAATGTGATTTTTCTTTGTTGACGAAGTAAATTCGTAGTATTTATCAGACATACCCATTAAAGTGAACATAATGGATTCAAGTTAGATGTAATTTTTCAGCAGGTGTGTAATCTGAACAATCATTCGAGTCGATAATTACAATAATTAACCGGGAACGTAATACATAGTATGAGCAAGAGTTGTGCCCACTGGGTTAAAACATGGCATCGAGTAGGTTGACTCTGCATGTCCTACGCAACACCGTCATTAGTTCACAAAAGATTTTAATCAGCACAAGCTAGACCCTATTTAAATAAGACAGCACCATAGACATTATGTCCTGGAGAGAGGATAGTTGCTATGCTTTCGTCCCTTGTCTCAGAGACCAGGGTTAGACCATGCTGATTAGTTTCCAAAAAAACCACAAAACAGCCGTCTTTGGTTAATTAGTTACGAAAATTTCACCGGGCAATCTATGATGTGTCAAATATGTCTCAGTGAAGTTGGCCCAACTATCAAAACTACGTTTTAAATGAAATTTGACATATTAGCGGGAAACGTATTAAACACTAAAATTTATTTCTGATAACATAGGATATTTTTATTTAATATTAGCCTAAAATAGATTTTTTTGTAACAAAGAAAAAATATCTTGCAAATACAAAAAATTGCCGATTAATAAAAATCAATGAAACAAAATAGCGGCAAATCACCACTGCGTTACATCGCCTTTTCGACTGATTACTGCTTTATATTGGGCAGTCATCTGGTGTAAAACTGTTCCAGATTTCTTGGAGACGGGTTCTCAATTCTGGAACAGTACTTGCGGGATTCGATCGAAGCTTTTTCATGATATGCCACAAGGTTTCGATCGACGATAGATCTGGATTACTCGACGTCTATTTTAAAACTTCAATATTGTTTTCTAACAACCAATCATTTACTTTTTTAGACGTATGGCAAGCGGCATCATCTTCTTGGAAGATACATTGAATATTGTTTAAACGCATTTGTTCAATTTGTGGTATACATTAATGTACTTATCAGCATTCATAATACCTGCCTTAAAGTGTAAGTTTCCCATTCCACTTGCTGACATGAATCCCCAAATCAGACAGAAACCGGAAACTTAACTTTTTTAAGACAGTCATTCTGAAACATTTCTTTAGTTCTTATGACACGACTCCTAATATCATAAACGTATACTCCAAATCTTTCTCTTTTGCCTAGAAATACTGAACCAAAAACGAATAATTAATAAAAAAAATCATTTAAGCCTACCTTGTAAGTTTTAAATCCTATTTTTTGGGCCGCTCTGTGACAAGTTGCTCTTGAAAACTTTTGACTGATTCCGTAATATTTTCAATTCGTTATAATTAGCACGGCGATTTTCGTTGATAATCCGTTTTAAGGCTAAGTTGGTACTGGAATAATTTTGACTTTTTAAATTCAATTGAATGATCACTTTTTTTATTTCGTCAGGACCAGCTTTAACACAAGCCATTTTTAATTGTTAACAACACCAATGCATTGAAAATTGGTTTAAACGTCAAAAATAAGCTTCTTAGTAACGTAAAATGTTATTTATCATTTGGTTTACAAAGCGTACTTTTATTTATTATTTACGCGAATAAACAACTCAAGTTGTCTCCATCATGTATTTTGCTATACACAAGTCATTTTGCAAAGAAGACAATTTCGTAATAAAAACGCTTTAAAAATAGCCGCATTGGTTTTGTTATCTTTCCATAAACATTTAAAGAAACCACAAATATTATATTTGAAATAATATTTTGATTAGCTTCCAAATAAATAACCATAATAACAATATAGAATGGGTGAATAAATGTGTTTTAATTCACAGAAGAGAATGCCTGTATTAATATGCTAACATCAAGAAATTGCGACACAACCTCCATCTCCAAATTTTTTACTCCTACATTTTTTTTTTAATTTTCAGGAGCCCCTGAAACTTCGCGATTTTACTATATCATCGTATGCTTTATATACCTTTCCGCACTAGTGGTTAAGTATAGCAATAGCCCACGGCTAAACTTCGAAACTGGCGTTAGATCTGTATGTACTTGCATGTACTTAATAAAGACGAATTTATTGTTATTATTATTATATTAAAGTGAACAAATTTCTCAAATGCCTAAATTTACTTTCATAATCCAAAGTGTGAATATGTTCTTATCAAGGTCGTAAAACTTTTCACAGAAGTCTATTTCAAGACACCAAAGTGCTATATTCTGTTCAGCACATATCAAACATCCAGAAACACTTTTGGCACGAGAGTCTATAAAGCCCAAGTGTTTACGCTAAAAAATAAACTGCCTATAAATTTGATCAAGGCGCTGGAACTAGCTATATGGTACAATTACCCTCTTGAAGCTGCTCTAATTATAGAGAGCTGGGTAAAAATAAGCTTTCATGAATTAGTACCATTACCTAGTATGAAATATAAATGAATGTAGGCAATGGCGTAGAGCTTATGAGCTAAAAAAGCATCATTGTATAAAATTCGGAAACCAACGCCAGAGCTCATACTTTTTATTCCCTGAAGGTACTAGTTATTAAAGCGATATGTTATGTGTGAGGTACGACTTCGCTGACTTGTTCTCAACGTGTTACCCTTTTTGTAATGAAATCATTCGTTTTATATTCTAGATAGGTATATTGAATTAACCAGTGAATATAAAATATCATACGGTATGTTATCACTAGTATTACACAGCCGATCATCATTGGTACTAAAATTACGAATTATGAGCAGATCAGACATCGAGCTCTTATCATCTAATTTTCCCGTTATCATCGGGATCACCAGCTTCTGAATGATATAATGTCTTTGACTAATACTAAAGACGTTACATTCACAACCCTCTACCCCGGAAAAAAACCCCAAATTTCAACCACTACAAAAATTTTCAGGCGCCTCTAAAACGTCAAAAAACAATGGTTTGGCGATTTTTATTTTTTCGTGTTTTTGCTTCTAGCTCTGCCTCCACTAGACCTATTTTCAAAAACCACAAAGCTTTTTCATCCTTGTGTGAAAATGTCATCAAAATCTGAGCGATACTTCTCAAGTGATAGGCGGCTATATGGGGGTTGCATGGAAGAGCAACTATGTTGAATGCCGCCTCCCTCATCAAGAGCCAAGCTATTTTGTCGTCATCAATATCAAAATTATTGGTTCAGTGTATTAGATTTTGAATGCAGTTAATTGGAAGTGCGATTAATGTTATGATATATTTTGGATGAAAATTGACAATAGAAGCGGTTCCATTCCATTCTGATATGGGGCAAATACGTTTGTTTGTACATGTGTTGACTTTGCAAACGTCTTGTTAATATACGGATATTGTGCACCCGATATCTTTGTACATTTATGAAAAATACACTTGTATGTTCGGATATCCCATGTTCGCGCCACTGTTCCAAGTTTATTTTGAGATCGTGCTCCCTACCAGAGATCTGTTGAAACCGCAGTGTCCAAAAATAAAGAATAATTATTATTACAGCCAGCACTAGACGCGTCTAGCCAACATGTTTTCAATGGAACTTCCAACAGACAAAATAGCACAACCAACCAAGGTTTTTCATGTCATTTCGAAAATATACGGAATTTCCTTTGACGCAAATCATATGACGGGGGGAATTTGAAAAATACGTTCAGTGAAACGCTTTTTGAGTGTGAATTTTCAGTGTTAACAGTAATGTAAAACCGGATTTTAATAGAACCGAAGGCAGTCTAACCTCTATATTTCATTGATACACCCATTTCTTGATCAACGGCGCGAGGTTTGAATGGACCTAAGTATAATTCATTATTCTGGTGTATAATGGTGTATTTTATTAGTTCTTATTTGATCATCCCACGGTGCAATCAAATTGAAAACTGAACCGAAACACCAATGCCCACTCATTCGATCGTCTGATACAGGGCATGCATATTTATATAAAACAACCTCATTAGTCAACGTTACAGTTGACGTTTTTACATCGGAAAACATTATTTCACATTTCCTGTTTTTATAACCTACGCAAGAATAAAGTTTAAGACAGTGAGTTAATTCAATAAAGATTCTTGTCTCCTCCTCATGGATGGAAGTTAATTTCTATTAAACGCATCGTGTACATCGTACAGGACCGTATTAAGAGCTGTTGAAAACACAGGACATCCTGAGTGTTAATGTGACGCTGTTATGTCAAGATCGGAAATTGTATTAGTCTTTGTCAGGTGTTGATGAAACATTGAACTTCGTAAGTTATATATGAGAGCTAAGTGTGCAGGAGATATTTGCCATCTAAATCTACAGGGTGAGTTCTTGGTGTGTAATATATATCTAAAAAAGTTAGTCACACAAATTATGGGTTAACGTACGTTGTTTTCTTGGAAATATGCCGTTTATAACTACGTGGCAACACAAATAAACTTTTGAGTTACTTCAGTTATCCAGAAATTAAAAAGGATAACTAAAAACAGCAAAAATTGATCCATTTGTTTTTTTTTTAGAAAAAGTACATTCTGTTTTTACAAGCATGATGTAGGAATAATGATACACAGAAATTAATTGAACCTTTAAATGACGACAAACTATGGAATATGGAGCTCAATTTGACGAAAAATTTGCAACTGTATCTGCAAAAGCCAGTCTTTTTTCAGAAACCTCAAGGAGTAGCAATCAAATTCCTATATGTCAGTCTCCTGCCTTGGAAGCAGCCTTTAAGAATGCATTAAAATATGCAGGGCTTTCCATTTAAAAAATGCGTCCTGTCATATATTTGTGAATCACCCTGTGGTCTGCGGCATATTTTCCGAATAAGGAGCGTAAGGGCCGACTATATTTTTTGCAAATAACTTTTTAGATATCTTTAAAAACAACGGAGCTCTTGATCTATCACATCCTGATAGCGGTTTATCAAGGAGAAGTACAAAGTTTTATGGAGCAGATCATATTTATATGCCTTGGCAGTCAAGCAGCTCCTGAAGGCGGTGACGGTAAGATTGAGTCTACTGTACGACTCTTCAGTACTCGGCTTCGGGTCTCTGGTCACTGTTAAGTGCCGAATAATGAAAGTGTAGACCTTTGGCTATAATTTAGGGCAATGGAAAAAACGTACACCAACTGGCTTCTATCTGAAAGTCTCGAAATGCTAGGTTGCTGAATGCTCAGCTGGAGAGGGTAAGGAATTCGTGAGGAAAACAGTAGTTTTCCTACTCCTTTTGATGACATACTGCCCCAGACCATAATGGATGCTGGAAATTTCACTTTTCTCTTCAGACAGTCAACATGGAATGCTTCATTTTTTTGCGAATAACTCTACTGCGACTGTCACCAACACAAACTTCGAATCGGACCTCATCATTCCATTGTATTGCACACCATTGTTGAGGTGTGCATTGTCTATGTTCTTTAGCTCATCTAAGCCGATTTTTCTTTTGCAGTGGAGTTAATAGTGGCTTTTCTTTGGCCTATGAACAAGTTGTGCAACTTTAGGATTTTTACTTCACTTTTTTTTATAAGAAAACTTACCTTGCAAGTGCTAAATCCCAGTTTGTGGGCCTCTCTATGAGTTGTGGACCTCGAAATTCTCCTTCCAACAGCGTCACTCCACAGAGCACTTAATTGTAAATAATTGGCACGCCTGTTTTTCACGATTATTCTTCTTAATGATATTCGGTCGGCATTTGTGATATACTTTTTTTCACATATCGTGGCTTAATATTAACTGAACCAGTTACGTGATATCTTCTAACAATATTTCTCATACTGTACCGCGATAAGTCTAACAAAGTTGCAATTTCTGAGTTTGATTTCCCAGAATTAAAAAATTTAATTATCGGTAACCGCATTTTCTCACTAATAACCTTTCCTCTACCCATTTTGAAAATCTTAACTACCCAAAACTATTTTAAACGTATTCTGACCGCTGTGATTAATAAAAACAATTGGCATGGCTTTTATTTTTCACAGCCACCTATGCGTTATAGACTTATTTTGCATTGAAATGAAAATAGGTTGGTATGCTGTAATTGCAACATGTGTTATTTTTATGCTGCAAATTTGATAGGGAGTGATAAAGTTGGTGTTTTCTACTATATATTATCAAAATATTCATTGTTAATATTTAAACCTATAACACCCTGCTACATTTTTATTATTTGTGTTTGATGAGAACAAAACTTAGATTTCAATAGTTGGGCCAACTGAAGTGGAAAGGGGCTCATAGTGCCTAGTCTTGATCGATAACACTGAGTCGGCAAAAAGGACCAAGGCTTCGTCTCCTTGCTATTTCTAACAAGTCAGTCTGAAAACTTTTGCCGTTACTATTAATTATACTCAGTTATACTCAGTGACATTAGAGTGTTACACACAGAAAACTTTTTTTTTGGCAACAGAATAACTTTATTTAAAGTATGCTATGGCAACAACATGCATCGAGTTCGAAGACGTTCAAATTATCACCATGTCAGCGACTTTGACAGGGGTAGAATTATTGCTTATCCAGATGTTGGTGTGTCCTATCGCGAAATTGACCGCCGTTTTAATTGTGCGTACTGCAATGGCGGTAATGCGTGTGTGTCGTGTGTGAATAGGGGAAGGTAGAGGAACACGAAGAAGGCCAACTGGCCCACCGAGGCGTACTATAGAGCATCAAGATAGGCGCTTCAGACAACTAAACTAGCCCTAGGAAACCGTTTTGTTATTACGCGTCAGATCTCTGAAGTATGGTTTGGAGAAGGTAGACCTGCTACTAGGCGTACACTCTATCGCCGCATTCAAGCCTTAGTACTTTTTTCATACTGTCCACGGTTAGTGCTTCCTCTGACTACGGACCACTGTCGTCGACGTTTGAACTGGAGCAGAGAACGGCATCATTGGGAGGCAAAATGACATAATCTCATTTTTAGCGACGAATTGCGATTCTATGGTCGTAGAAGGGTAAGACGCCACCGTGGAGAAGGGCGTGATATTGGATTTGCTGTTGAGAGGCATGTACATAGGACTTTGGAGTAATGGTTTGAGGGGCAAGTGCCTATGATAGCCGATCACCCCTTCTCTTTATTCAAGGCGTTATGTTGCTCACAAACCACTTTACTGCCGTATCTAGAGGGACGTACACTCGTCCTTTATTAGTAATACAACGACGTGGCTCGTCGTTCTACGGACTTTCTTCAAGACGTTAATGTTTGGCCGTGGCCACCCCGGTTCACCGGATTTAAATCCCATCGAACATGTGTGGGGTATGATGGGGAGACTATCCACTTTGAACCACAGACTCTACCACAGCTAAACCACGAAGTACGAGTGGCTTGGAATGAGCTGCCACAACCAGACATCGATTATCTCATTTTGTCGATGTATACAGGAGTGTATTCAGTGGCGGGGTCGCCCAAAAAATTTTATGAGAATGTTGTCGTTCCATTTTTGTTGTAAGACTACGTCATTGCCAAAAAATCAAGTTGAAGAAATTATTTTTTTCTGGGTGTAACACTACTGAGTATATAAAAATTCAGTTTATTTGTAGGAATCAGTTAATATAATGGCCAATTATCAAATCAGTACCAAACTTGTAAGTACTTAATCCGTAAGTTTTATTTTTGAGCACTTATGCCATTCATTGTTACAGTAATAGATGATCAGCTTAATGCGTTGACCTCATCAAACGAAATGGTGCAATAATTTCGTAATTTCGTACTACTTACTCGGTACGCTTGTAGTCGTTTTGTAACGCTACAGCGGTCGTTAAGACGCTACCTTCGCTACCTCCATATAATCGCCTTCACACATGTTTTCTTCTTTTCTCTTTCTTCATCGCTCACAATCGCTACATACAGCACTAAATTGGTAATTGCAAAATGAGACAAGTCGCTTTAACCGTTAGTCATCCTTTTGAATCATTTGGCTTCGTGACTGTAAGTGATAGAAGATACAATTTTTGGATTTTATCGTGATTCACGAGAATCTTGGACATTCTGGACATTACAGAATATTCACGCGTCAATGTGCTTTCCCCAAATGAATCATTCTTGGACCTATAGGTATTTTTCTAAATTGAGGTAGCTGCGGAAGCAGAACCTGAGAGGCAGTTTACTGGAACAAAAGATCTCTAATCTGCACCGAATAAAGTTGTAATTGTATTTCGGAGTATTTGGAGTTTGATTTGGAGACTATATGCTCACAATGGTCCTTAAAAATCTATGTTTGCGGCAAGATATCATTCCAGAAACTTTACTTGAATTTCAACGCTAAATGCTTCTGTCTTTTCTGAACATTAAGGAATCTAATTTCTGGCGCTAGAGGATACCTTATCCGAAAAAGCATAGGTATAAAACTTTTCATCAAAATGGACTCATATATAATTTTTTTTTTCGAGCAATTTTACCAGACAGACAAGCACTTGAATTTATTTGATGACGAAATTCAAACGTTGAGAAAATAATATTTTATCCAAACTCGTTATAGTTTCCAAATACTCTAGAGAGTATGCAAATGAGATATCTTTTTATTCAATGTGGTTTTCATTATCGCTGTTACTCATCATATAATTCAGAAAATATCGTCTTCGAGTTTTAGTAACCCGCCTTCTACCCACACTGTAGTTAAAATGGAAATAGTTTCATTTCACCATATTGATTTCTGCAGCCGTTGTTCCCACATTCATATTTATAAATATGGAAGGGACTATTACAAAGGTTCTTCAGCGAAAAATTCATAGTGGAGGCTGGGTTTTGTCGCATTTTCATTCTACAATGCTTTTATCCCCATTTATATTCATTCGTACAGTAAAATATTCTTTTGTGGATCATGTTTACAAAGTTGATTTGAATTTTCTTGCAGGTATGTGGGAATGCTAGCAAGGATGGGCAACTTCCAGAAATGTGAGTGAAAATAAGATTTGCTTTTCTCAAATTATTTTCCATAATACATACATGGGAAAACATTATCCGAGTCTCATGTAATGTATATAATCTGCCATACAATGCGGATTAAGGCTGGTTTACACGCTACGTCTTATTATATGTTTTGTGGGACAGGACAAATCCTATTCAATAGAACGTAGCGTTTAAACAGGAATCGAAATGAAATCCAAGGTCAGATTGAAAAACTGATGGGAGAAGCATCATTTTGCGAGAACTGATAGGACAAAATGAAACTCATGTTCAGACAAGACGTTCGATCTTGGCTCAGTTCACGAGTAGCTCCACTTCAGTTCGCTTACTTTTTCCCAAAAAAACCTAATAATGTCAGACTTGCGACAATGCACCCGCGATTTTCTCGGGGAATTTATTGATATGTATAAAAGTTTCCGTGTTTGTAGCAAGTGAAAAATAAACACTATAGTGACGGTAATAAAAAAAGTGGCGTATGAGGATCTTATAAAAAAATACAAAGAAATAGACCCGATGGCAAATAAAAAGTAAACTAAGGTGTCCATTCGCAAATAATCAGTAATCAGGTTCGCTGATCAGTTGTTTCAATAACGAAACGTGGGAGTACTGGCTTCTTTTCCCTCTCAGTTGTTGTATCCTTATAGCTAAAAAATAAAAGAAAGCAGCCGTGTTTCCTCCCCTAGATTGGAACTGTAGTAGAAAGCGGAAGGGAAAACACGTACAAAACGTACGTTTTGTGGTACGTTTTGTATGTACGACAAAACGTAGAATAAGACGTAGCGTGTAAACCCGTCTTCAGTATAAGTTATAGTTTTTAATGAAGTTTAGCAACTTTTGTACATTCTTCTCACGCCTACTGGCGAGGAAAAAATCGCAACTTCATTGTTTTGCAGTTTTCAACTACCTAGTCAAGTGCAATGTCAGACCGCAGCACCTGATTATTTTCAGAATATTCTTTTTAGGGGTTAAAATTTGTGGGTTAGGGTTTTTAGGGGACTTGTCTGATCCTGTTTGATTGATTTGTTGCATTTAATTCCTTTGTAGTCCTTCTGTCATACTTTTTACTTCTACTGGAGATGAAGTATTGTATTCGAGAAAATGTTTGAAAATGAGATATTATGTTTTTTGGATGCTATGTGACATGTACCTACATCACGAAAAACCACTCATTTCCGTGGGTCTATCTGTCCGCTAATTTTATAATAATATAATATAAAACATTATATTACTACCATGCCAAGTACGCAAAAGCTTTGTAGTTTTTGAAAATCGGTCCAGTGGCGACGGAGAAAAGTCAAAAAAATAATCCGTCAAACTTCGTCTTTGACGGTCGACCTACTTGACGGAATTTTTAGAGTACATCCAAGCCAATAGCCTTACTGGTGGTCATCTGCCATAATTCAAGTGCATGCATCTGTTACACACAGATGTTACCAATATACTAAAAATATAGTATACCGTTTGTAAATAGCTCTGGAGTAAAGACAGTGCTGAGTGCTCCTTCTGTTCAAATCACCTGTGCAGCAAGTCGTTTTGATCCCCATTTAAAACACATGGAAGCTATTTAGATATATGGGGCCTCGATTAATATACAGGGTGTTAATCAAACACCTTACGAAATTTAAAGGGGCTATTATTTGATTTGAAGACGGACAGTTTATACATATAAAGGATTGGTAATGGTTCATTTTCAGGATACAGGTTTTCAAAATTTTAATTTTTAGGCTGCTGACATGTACATTGCGAAAAACTAAGTCACTCACTTCTGTCAGTTTGTCTGTGTGTCCCCTAAGCCTTGGCCCGTCTATAACTTGAGAAGTACAGCTTGGATGTTGATGAAAATTTTTCACAAGGTTGCTACTATGCCAAAGACGAAAAAGCTTTATAGTTTCTGAAAATCGGTCCAGTGGCGGCAGAGAAAAAAGCCAAAAAGAAAAAAAAACTTGAAATTTCAGATGGTTCTGATCGTTTTGCCTGACTTTGTCCCCCCAACCTAACCGCGTCGAACTTTGTACATCCAAAACTGGCCGATACGACTACTCCTTTGTCCCTAGGGTATATGAAAATTTCATCAAAATTCCACCGGTACTTGTAGTAGTTATAGACAGGCAAAGGCATCCTCGAAATTTTTGCGATTACAATACTTGGTCGCCAGTGGCGTTGGAAGTAAAAAATCTATTACTAGTACAGCCTTCCTCCTTCCTGTGTCCACTGTTCAAATCGTGAGCCTCCATATTTGGTAAGAAATTATGAAACGTATAAACAGGTCCGCTGCGTATCACGTACTACGCGCTACATTACGAAGCACGGCAATTAAATCCTCGCACTGCTCCACTTAAACTGAAACCGAAGCAATAAAATGGGTACTACCTAGCCATCATAAACTCCCATCATGATCGGCACGATATCGATACTTAGTGAAAGTACTCATAGCAATTGTCTCCTAATATTCTAAGCAAATGATGAAACAACTTCTATGTGAACAGTGAAAGCTGACATGTCAATCTTGGCTACCACACCTCCATTAAGGCGAAAAACATTTTTATGAGAAGCCATCAGATGTTGAAAGCGGTTTTTATTTTTTCGATTTCGACGTTTTGACCTAGCTTATTTTTTATATAAAAATAATAATAAAATACGGAAAGTCCACGGGGCGACTACTGTTTCGTTTTTATTTGTTCTTTAATTTTTCTTATGCATGCTCAAAAACGACAAAAATTACAAAACGAAGAAAGCAAGCTGCGGCAAAAATCAAGACGTGAATAACGAGTTTCCCGCGTTGCTGCAAAGAAATCGGTAACTATAATTTAAGTTTAGTCCTTTCCAAATCTAAATCCTTCCCAAAAGCAGCTCAGAAACATTTGGGATTCAAATTCAGAGTCTGTTACGGCCCTGACATGGCAGCAATTTTGTAATGTAGTTTTTCAAAATTTGATTACGCATCTTCAACAAAAATGTAGGCTTAACATCTCGAACGTATACCCTTTGAAGATATCATGAGCTAATGCTCCAAAAGCGTATTTTCAAAATATGATTTCAATTTCAACTCAGTACTGTGGCTGCTGAATCCCACATAGGTACCTAGCTGTTGCAAGATTCTTAAATGCTTGAAAAAGTGAAATTATGAAAATACTGTAGATACAGTGTGTCCCAGATTTGCTTCTCAATACAGGGATCTCGGCTCCTGTAATACCTACAGCAAAGGTTAATATTGGCAGTATTAACGTTAGTATCGACTTCTCAGCAAGTCAAATGTTTTGGGACGAATTATCAACTATTAGCGTATTAGAAAAACAAGTCGGAAAAATCGTCGTAAATTTATTTTACACTTGAACAAACAAACATTTTACAAAATTGTAATGTAATGTAAAATCTAAATAACGTCCATTTGCATCCAGACATTCTTGACAATTGGTGACGGTTTTTCGAACAGCCCTAGCATATTTCTGTTAATGTTTCTAACTGTGCTCAAAATTCTTTGTCTCAGGATTTCTATGGTCGCGGAAGGATCAAACTCATAGACCTCATTTTTTATGTGATCCCAGAGGTAGAAATCCAAGGGTGAAAGGTCAGTGGATCTAGGAGGCCAATATATTGAACCGTTTAACGAAATTATTAATTATTAATAAGTTCCTGGCTTGAATGGTGTTGTGAGCCGGTCATCCATCCTGTTGAAACCAGGTTCTTCTAAACTCATCTTCGGTTAGAGTAGTTCGTAAAGCCGGCACAACCTGCTTTCGCAAAAGCTCTATAGTGTATTTACACCCAAGATAGAATGGATGCGTGATTGCCAAAAGCAAGGATGGCTTACAGGGCCGCATTCAGGGCTACCTCCGAATGATGGACTACCACCAACGTGTTGTAAAACAAAGATGACAGTATTTAATGAAATTATCTAATGTAGTGAAGTAGTTATAGTTAAGGGTGTCGCAAAATCAAATTTTTATTCTTGAAGGGGTGCTAAGTTTTTCTACAGATTTTTCAAACTAGACAACATGGAGAAATACATACCAGAGGTAACCAGCTGCTCACTATGCACAATGAATCTGTAGTCAACGAGGGGTAGAGATGACACTTTTGTACATGGAATAAATATAAGGCTGTTCAATCAATTGAAAATAGATTTTGAAGGTGCACTTCGGACTTGCATTGTCTGTAGTTTATCTGTAAGTTAATATTTCACTATAACTAGGATTCCCATACTATGTATTCTGTGACAAAACAAAAACGCGAAACTTACCCAGACTCACTTGAAGAGCTATCGTCATTAATGTTTATGATGATGGATTCAAAATCTCTCTCAATTATGTTGTCCAGCTCCCACATTGCTACCTCCACTTTCTCCTGAACATGCTGCACATATTTTTGCCATCTTTCTGGTGTAATCCTCTGTATAGCAATTCTGCTATACAGAGGATGCATGTCAGAAAATTTAAATGTTTTATTGTGTGCAGCAACAAAATTCTTAACATCTGCCCATATGAGCTCAATGGGGTTGAGCTCACAGAGGTAAGGCGGCAAACGAGTACTGTTTTGTGGTGTGCTTTGGCCATTTCATCTATGACATATTTATCATGTCTTGGTCTGGGTTGTTTCACAATATCTAATAGTTGTAATTTCAGTAAGGAAGGGTCGAAAGTTATATTTTTGGAACGGAGCCAGCTCTGAATGTCTGATTTCCTAGAAGCTGAAGTTGGGATTTTTTCTATTTTGCGAGAATGATAGGGAGCATTCTCCAAAACAACCACACAATTGTCTTCGAGACGTGGTAAAATGCCTGAATGCCTCGAATGCTTCCCCATTCATCTCTTCATGGTAGTCAGTGTTTTTTTTTACTCAAAAGACCATAAGCCGTTATCCACGAAGCCATCTACACCCCCAATGTGGCAAATAATGAGCCTTGTTCCTTTGCCTAGAAAGATAAAATCCGGAGTAGTGTGTCCAGCGTTAATCCAGGTTTCGTCCAGGTAATAGATCTTCCTGTGCTG